ATTTCCATGACATATATACAGAAAATAATGTAATTAATAATGTAATTCTCTTCTATCAAATCCATTGATAATTAATTACAAAATTGGCAGTAATTTAATCGAGACATTCAATGAAATAATATACTTATTTTAGACAATATTCAACATTTCAATTATTCAGATCAATCAAACGATATCCATTCAAAATTATCGTCAGCACAAATTGATGATAAAGAGGATGAAAAGATAGATTTAAATTTGTTCTTCGAACTGAATAAAGAAAGTCTTTTACCTTACATACAAACCATACTGGAAATGATGAACGAAGAGCACGATACTTCCAGTCGAGAAACAGAATTGAATTTCGATGGAAGTTCGCTAAAAACATCTGTTTTGAATAGCGAAGAAGTTGCTGCTGGTGTAACCAACTATAAAGTATCGAAATCTTTGAAGACTGAACCCAACAGTATGAAAAAAATCCTGAATAATGATTCGCAAGTCTTGGAGGAAGAAACATTTGACAAAATTTCTGCTAAAACTCAAGTAGAAACAGCTTCGACAAATTCAGAGTTGCAACAGGTTTGTACAACACTTTTTTTTAATTCCAATAAATTTCCAATATTATACTACAGATTAAATTAAAATTTAATGGAAAATATTTTAGATATTTGAAGTTTTCGAAATGGTGTGATATTTAGAATATTAATACTTAAAACTGAATAATATATAAATTTAATAAGAAATACTTACTATCTTTATTTCTTCTTTTATTAACTATATTTTAAGTGGCAGATGTTTTTAGAAAAATACAGCAACAAATGAAAGATACTTTCTTTCCTTTTCGTATTATAAAGAACGTTGGCTAAAAATGGTAATTTCAAAGACTTGAATGTATTCTACTATATATATATATAATGTTTCGACGTAGTCTAATTGTTCGGCACGAAATAAACCGGTCTTTTTTCATTTCAATACTAGGAAAAAGAATCGGGGACACCTGAGTTAATTTATGCAAACGAGGAGCCTACTATTCGGTCCTTTTATAATCTGCCTAGTTACGGTGCTAGCAATGACGAAACTGCTCTTCAGGATACACGAATGAAACGTAAAAATGGAACATCGAGTAACATTAAAAATTAAAAATTAGTGAATACAGTACATTAATTATAATATTATTATATACAATTAAAAATATATTTTCTTACGTTGTGTATTGTTAAAACAGAAAGAATGCGTAGATTATTATGTATATTTTTGGAATATTATAATATTGTCATATAGGACACCCCGGGGCAAAGATATATTTCCTTGTGTCTTAGATTAGAGAATATTCTTGGAATATTGGGCATGGATATGTAGTATGTTGAATGTTTATTACCGAGGCGTACAATTTCTTAGAAATACAGAAACGAAAATGTAAATATTGTACCTAGCCGCAAGACCGAACAAATCGAATATTTAAGCTTCTCAGTCGTACAGGAGCTATCGAAAGCGTAACATTCATACGAAATACAGTCCAGACATTAGGTACGTATTAATTAATACTATATTATATATTATATTAATTAATATTATATATATTAATTGATATTATAATAAATAAATCTGTAAAAACGGGGGAAGAATAATTTTTAGAGTGCAGTATTTTTTTGCCCCAGAGTGTATACATTGTAATACAATAAATTTCCAACACAGTTACCTACGATTATAATAATATACATTTATACAATATATTATGGAATATATTATACAGTATATACACATATATACACATTATATATATTATACGTATATACAACGAAGATAGATACATTATAGATATATACAGTATGACACATATATGTTGTACATAATACAATATAACATTTAATGAAATGGGAATTTTATTTTTGTATGATGTTTAATCGGTGAAAAGAAATAAATAGAAGTATCCAGTAACCTTTTTTTTTTTGATTAATCAACAGATCAGGAGAAGAATAATTTTTGGAGTGCAGTATGTTTTTGTTCCAGAGTGTATACAGTGTAATGCAATAAATTTCCAACACAGTTACCTACGGTTATAACAATATACATTTATATAATATATCATGGAATATATTGTACAATATATACACATTATATATATTATACGTATATACACGAAGATAGATACATTATACATATATTCAACATAACACATATATGTTGTACATAATACAATAATATAATATTTAATGAAATAATACACTATATAAATAATAATACAATA